CAAAATTCCTAGGAGCTCTGACTGGCCCTCTCACAAAAGCCTGGGGCCCTTTTTGCCAATTTCAGAGGAGTTTCAAAGTCTCTAATAGCAAAGGCTGATTATTTCTCCCAGGGAAAAAGAAAATTTTTTAGTGCTTGGATGAAGAGATAAACAAGTAAGGAGAAATTTAAAAGTGCTATTTGTTTCAGGTTGGTGGTTATTTGAATTTAACTTAAGGACTTTTAAATGACAGCCCACCTACTATCATTTTTGAAAAATTCCTTTTACAGTAGTATATGGAATGAAAATCCAAGATGGGATTTGAACTTGGTTTTAACTAATCATGGTAGCAGGAGGTAGTCTCCGTTCCAGAATAAATTGCATATTACAGAAAATCCAAGTAAAAGACTTAAGTTCTTCAAGCTGTGGTGATATGCTTTGAGGAAACTTTGGTCTCCAAACTTTTTCTTGTCTGAAAAATGACTATTAAATATTCAGAAGCTCCTCATGAAAATATTAATATTCTGGGGTGATGTGCCACTTTGGATTCATCAGTAGTTAAGCCCAGAAGAAGGAAAAGCTAGTGATGAGGTGGAAGGAATTGTTAACAGTTATGGAATATGAGAAAAGAATGAAAGAAACAATTTTTGGAGACTAGTAGTTGAGGACTTCAGCAGGCCAAAGATGGACTTTGCTGTGTTAAGTCTATTCCTAACTCCAGAATGTTCCACAGATGATCCAATCACCACCATTAAGTAGTTGATGAAAACCAACCCCCATGGATAAACCCCCAAGACGCAATTGGAAAAGAGAAAGGGGGAAAGAATAAAGAAAAAACAATGTAAAAAGTGTAGGAGTGCTTTCTCTCTGAAATTTCTGAGAGAAGATGGGAGTTGAAAAATCTCAAATGAAATGTTGTCCCAATCTCACTTGACTAATTTTAGTTGTCTTGGTTCATGGCTATGATTCATGCCTAAAGCTGTGAATTGCTGAGGAGGAAGGAGGAAAAAAATTGACTTAAATGTCAAAGAAGTAGGAACATAAATATAGTTTTCTTTTATGGGGGAACTAGAATTCTAGGATATGGGTATCTTTTTTTTTCTCATGAGGGACCAAATGCTTCAAGTTTCTAGAAAAATAATGATCTCCAGTCAAAACATCATCAAGGAATAAAAGACAGAACTGAGTCATGTCATGTCTGATTTTTTTTGCCATCTTTCTCCTTGAGTATCTTCTTAAATATCTTTAAACTAGAAATCATTAATAACCATTATGTGGTTGAGTATTATGGAAGCTTAATATGTATACTGTATGATAAATGTAACTCAAAAGACAGGTGAGGGAAAAGTGAATGGAGATAACTGGAACTAAGAGAAATAATTCCAGGAGTGGGGTGGTTCGAGAGAAGGAACACGTGTATGACTGGTGGTCAGGTGTTCTCCTGCTTGCTATTGAAAGAGGACAATAGAAATGGTTTGATGAAACGCCATTCTAAGCAAAGAAAAATGTTTTTCAATTTACAAGGTGTTCTTAGTAAACTGGTTCCATTTTGAATTTCTGTATGTTGGCAGTTACTAACTCATATTCAGTTCCACGATTTTACTCTCTGAAGTAGCTGATCCTCTCATCTCTCAGTCTATCCACTGTCTGTGTGTTTGCCTCTTTCTGCTCTTAAAACCTTGGGAGTAAATTGTGCTGCTATGAACATTGATGTAGCAGTGTCCCTGTAGCATGCTCTTTTTAGGTCTTTAGGGAATAGACCGAGAAGGGGAATAGCTGGGTCAAATGGTGGTTCCATTCCCAGTTTTCCAAGAAATCTCCATACTGCTTTCCAAATTGGCTGCACCAATTTGCAGTCCCACCAGCAATGTACAAGTGTACCCTTTTCCCCACATCCTCGCTAGACGAATGGATAAAAAAAATGTGGCATTTATACACAATGGAGTATTACTCTGCATTAAAAAATGACAAAATCATAGAATTTGCAGGGAAATGGATGGCATTAGAGCAGATTATGCTAAGTGAAGCTAGCCAATCCCTAAAAAACAAATGCCAAATGTCTTCTTTGATATAAGGAGAGTAACTAAGAACAGAGTAGGGATGAAGAGCATGAGAAGAAGATTAACATTAAACTGGGATGAGAGGTGGGAGGGAAAGGGAGAGAGAAGGGTAATTGCATGGAAATGGAAGGAGACCCTCAGGGTTATACAAAATTACATACAAGAGGAAGTGAGGGGAAAGGGGAAAATAATACAAGGGGGAGAAATGAATGACAGTAGAGGGGGTAGAGAGAGAAGGGGGGGAGGGGAGGGGAGGGGGGATAGTAGAGGATAGGAAAGGCAGCAGAATACAACAGACACTAGTATGGCAATATGTAAATCAATGGATGTGTAACTGATGTGATTCTGCAATCTGTATACGGGGTAAAAACGGGAGTTCATAACCCACTTGAATCAAAGTGTGAAATATGATATATCAAGAACTATGTAATGTTTGAACAGCCAACAATAAAAAATTAAAAAAAAAACCTTGGGAGTAAAAGAAATATAGGATGGTTGTAAAAATATGATCTAGGACATTAGAGGAAGATGATATTGCACAGGAGGTGAATGAAAAAGGAAGAGTTCTAAGGGCTTCAGAGTGGATTCTTCACACCCCCAAAGCCATGAGGAGAGGAACCCCAAGACACTGTGGTGAATGATGATTTTGGCATCTGTCCTCAGCCTTCCTCAGAGCATTCTCCTTCATCTTTCTCATAGCTCTGCTCCTTTTGGTTCTCCTCAGACCTGTGTATTGCTGTGAGCAGCCGCCATCTACCTCATCACCCAGACCCTTAGGTGTCATTCAGCTAACATGCCCCGTGCTTCTCCACGCTAACATAACAGGACCCTCAGGAGGTGGCAGGGCCTCTGGAGGCTGCAGATGTAGTTTCATAAGAGGAAACTGAGACTTTAAAGGTCTAAATGATTTTCTGTTCATCTTATTTTCTCATTTGCATCTTCTAAAAGATGTCAACTAACACCATGGCTGTGTCTACCTTTTTTGTTTTGTTTTTTTATTCTCCTATTGAGAGCTATTTTAAAGTTCATAGAAGATATTTGTCAGAAGGGTCTTTGGATACCCTTATTTCATACTGCCTTGGCACACTGACTTTTGTTTTTAAACAATACCAGTTGTTCTCAGACTGAGTATATTTAATTTTCTGCTAGGTGTGTCACAGTGCAGTGAAGATTTGTTTTAATTTTTTGAATTCCATAATCAATTTACCTTGTATGCCCATGGTGTACCTTGAATTATGACCCCCAAGTGTCTGTAAATGTGACTTGCACTATAGTATTTGGAAATAGGACCTTTGCAGATGTAATCAAGTTTTGATGAAGTCATAAGAAGACTGCCATGTGAAGACACAGAAGGCAGAGTGCCACGCGACAACAGGACAGAGTCTAAAAGGTGGCAGCTTTCAGCCAAGGATTAACTGAGCTTTGCCTGCTATCCACCAGAATCCAGAAGAAACAGAGAAGGACTGTGCTGCACAGGTTTCAGGGGAGCCTGGCCCTGCTGACACCCTGAACCAGACTTCCAGCTGCTTGAACTGTGAAACAATAGGCTTCTATGGTTTAAGCTCCCCAGTTTTGGTGCCTTTCTATGATAGTCCTAGGAAACTAATGCACAAAGGCACAAAGGAAAGACAACTAGAATCGGAAGGAAAGAAAGAAGAGCTTCTTGTGGGTTGGTTTACTAATGTATTGACATTAATTTTTAATTAAAATAATCTGGAGTGATTCCATATGGCCCCTTGGACGAAAATCCATCAAGGAACTCCAGTTATTTTAAGTATGATATATTTTGCTATTTAAATACATTTTTTTCTCATAGACTTGTTCACTGTTTTTCTTTTATTAGAGCTTTATGGTTATACGTAGTAGTGGGTTCACTTCTGACAAATTCCTACATGCATAGAAATTGATTTCAGTTCATGATCTCCCTCCCCTTTCTTTTTCCTCTACTAGATTTCCTTTCACTCATCCATTAGTTTGTATTTGATTGGTTTGTCCACTGTTTTTCAATGCTCTTGATTAACCATCTGATTTGTTTTCCTTAACCCAATTTCTTTGGCTTTTTCTGTTTTATTTATTGTATATTTTAATTTTTCATTTTGTAACATAATGTAAATGAATGAGTAGTAACATGTATTTCATCAAATATGGAATCAAAGGCACTTCAGAAGTACTAATTATCTGTAATATATTTTTTGGGTCCAAATGGAATTATATCTCTAGATCCAAGGCTCTGACTTACTCTCTATAAATAACATTAAAATTTAAGTCAGGTCTTGTGTGAAATAATTTCCATAGTTTCTTTTGTAATGCTGTTCTCTGTTTACAAATAGCACAAATGAAGGTAAAGAATACTTATTCTTTAAATTATAAATTATAATATGTATAGATCATATTTTTTTTAAAAACAAAAACTACTTTTAAGGTCTTATGATTTTAATATGTATAGAGCTGCCAAACTTAACCATAAATATCCAGAAACACTTAATTGTCATCTCACCTAATACATCTCATCTAATTTTCAAGAATGAATACATAAACTTTGACAAACGACTCAACACACTTCTCTAAGACAACAGTCTCTATTACTCAGTTATCTAAAATATTCAAGTCTTTTAAGGAAGCATTCCCCTGCAATATTTTGTGGCTGAACAAATGCCTAATGGATCCTCTCTTTGGTCAGAAATCTTAATTTTTCCAGAAAGCATTCTAGGTTGTTTGGAACCCCTCTTGAGGGTGAGGGGTTCAGCTATGATCAACTGAGAGTGTAGCTGGGAGTGCCTGTCTTTGAACACACTGGGGCATAGGAGTCACATCCCATGTCAAAATCAACAGACCACCTCCTATATTACAGCACTCCATCCGCAGAGTTTTTTACTGCCCCACTTACTCTTGGAGACATAGGATCTGATCCGAGGTGGTAATGCAAAGCACTATCAAAAGCCCTGTGTTTGGACTACTTACTTGAGGGTGGTGAGTTCTGTGAGGGATGGCTGGGTCGCCTTGAGATAGCTTTCTCTTCGCGCAGCCACTTTGGGAGAAGGCTTGGGACTTGTGTCTGAGTCCCCACTGTCTTCATCCCCCATGGCCTTGATGTAGCTGCCACTTCGCATTCTTCGGCATGGAATTTCATCGTCCCTGCCTCGAGGGGTGTACCCCGTCCATTCATCTTGAGGAACCTAGTCAGATACAAAACACATAATTCACTATTTTAAAATCCATTTTTTTGTTTTGGTTTTCTTTCCTGCTTTTCATATGACCCCGGATATAGGTAATAGAGATAAATATCTAAAACGTTAGATAATAACCTTTCACTAACAGTGTTTTACTATGATAGATTTGACAATATTTGGAAGGCAGGCACATCCATGTCATAATCTTTAAAAAAAAGTCCTGGGCATTAGGAAAAGTTAAAACACTGGCTCTGATTCATTTACACTTCTCAGTTTTCTCACAGATAATAGCTGAGTCTAAGCAATTAGAAAGGAAAGCAGATTTATTTTTTTATTTTTTATTTTTGGTACTGGGGATTGAACTCAGGGGCACTTAATCACTGAGCCACATCCCCAGCCCTTTTTTGTATTTTATTTAGAGATAGGATCTCACTGAGTTGCTTAGTGCCTCTCATTTGCTGAGGCTGGCTTTGAACTCATGATCCCCTTCCTCGGCCTCCTGAACTGCTGGGATTTCAGGCGTTCACCACCACACCTGGCAGAAAAGCAGTTTTATTTGAGCTTTTCAATGACTTGTTTTCAATTGCCATTTAAGGTTCAAGAATGTTTTCTGATTTATCTACACCTTCCCTGAACCTTCCATCTTTACCATCTCATATCCTGTCTCTCTTCTTCCTAACTAGTTGTCTATACCAACTGCATTTACTTTCTAACCATCTCTTCTTTCTGAACTCCTCTTCAGTTTGGATTCAGCCTTTATAGATCTGAGAAAAGCACTCTTCGAAGGTTTCTAATGAAATTCTTGTGAAAACTAATGGCATATTAGTGTGCACACACACCACACTCGAGGACATTTGTTCTGTTGGAATTTGATTGCTCTGCTTACCTGGGATTGTTACTACTTATCCGAATCATTCTTTTCCTCTTGCTTTGTTGGATCCTGCTCTAAGACCATAATTGTGGAGACCACCCAAGAGAGTGCTCTCAGGGTAACACACTGTGTCTTCTTTCTACAATCATTTCTTTCAAGTTGAACATGGCATTATACTACATTTTAGAAGACTTCTTTATGATAGTCTTTTTAATTCCTCTTACATTTTCCATCTCAATGTGAACTTAACCTAGTTCCCGTTGAATCTCATTCATTCTCCATTTGATGAAAGAAATGCATGGTGACACTTCTCATCCATCAAATGGTGATAAATTACAACACAGGGCACACACATGAAACTCAAAAGAGAACAGAAGAGGGAGCAGGCCGGTTCAACCCTCAGCAGGTTTATAACAGAGATGGGAAGAAAAAGTATACGTAAATTTGGGAAAAGTTCCAAATCAACATGTTAGCAAGTTGAAGATACATTGCCACAAATGGAATATGTATCAAAGAGACATTTGAAACAGGAGTTAGCCGTGGTGCCGGGGGGAAGGAGTACCCAAGTTTGCCAACTGGCCAGGTGGACAATGAGAAGGTAAAATGGCACTTAATATTTTGATGCTATTTACTGGTTACCCACTAAAAAGACACAGTGTTTCATGGTAACATTTAACTATGCTAAGAAATTTTTTTATAGGAATTTATTTCATTGATACAACATCCTGTGCATTTTTTCTGTATTTCTCAGATGAAAAGCAGGAGCTCAGAAAGCTGAAGGAACTTGCCCAATGACACACAGCTGGTCAACGGAAGCACTGGGATTCAATGTCTTTTGGTTTAATTTCCACAAATCAGAATCTAATAAGTTTTATGATTAAGGAGTGAATCTGAAATCTAAGAGGTTAAGAAAAAGTGTCCACAATGGCAAATACATATGACATATTTCTAAATATGACAGAGTCTCTGGGGTGAGAATAGATGGGCCACTAAAGGAAAAGCACTATTATTTTCTCCTTAAATTATCAAGATAGCTCTATAATTTGGAATTTTGTATCAAGAGGCACCAGATTGAATGCATGGAACAACTCACGAACTTGGAAACAGCAGTTCGTAGTTCTTACTCTGACAGGTACTTAACAGAGTTGAAACTTGGCTGTGCAATGTGTTTATTTAACAAATTATTATGTTGTGCTTCCTGTTTACAGACATTGTTTGAAATGTTTTATATGAACTCACTTGATCCATGCACCTGAGGGATAAGGTGATGATGATGATGATGATGATGATGATTTTGGTACCAGGAATTGAACTTAGAGGCACTTGACCACTGAGCCACATCCCCAGCCCTATTTTGTATTTGTATTAGAGACAGGGTCTCACTGAGTTTCTTAGTGTCTCACTCTCGCTGAGGCTGGCTTTGAACTCTTGATCCTCCTGCCTCAGCCTCCGGAGCCACTGGGATCACAGGTATGCGCCATTGTGCCCAGCTCATTCTGCAAGTAAGGAATCCAAGGTTATGGAACCTGCCCCAAATTACAACTCTGAAGGGACAGTTTCAGTGCTGCAGCTCCTGGGGTCCTGCCATTGACTGGTATTTGATGCAGCCTCTCCTTCTAGACTGTGGTTTGTGGTGCCCACAGAACTGAACAGTTCCAAGTTCTTGACTACGTGATCCATTATTATTTGATGCAGTTGCCATTTATTACTTATGTTAGTAGCAATGTAGAGTTTTTACTTTTCAGCTAAAAAGCATCAAAATCACCACAGCAACAAGGTTGTTTTTAGGAAATTTTAAATGTTGAGAACAGTCTTGTTTTCCTTCAATTGACGAGTGACTCATTGCACAGATACGATCATGTTCAGAACCTAATTATTGACTAAGCAATTCCATTTAAAAAGTCAACTTGGTACAGCTTGGGTCATTAGATAAGGCAGCCAGTCCCTGTCATTCCTCAGTACCAATGCAAAGTTCACAAGCATTGCTCTCAGAGACTGATGACACACTGATTACTAATATTGCTTATAGAAGAAAAACATGGCAAATTTCTATTTAGGTGCTTTTCAAAGTTGGTTTATGGTAGAAACTTTGGGGGGGGGTTACTAGAAACAGTCTGTAATTGTTGCTAAGGGAACCAGTTGAGAATCACTTAATCTGTATACCTCTCAATTAAACATTTATTTCAAATGACAGCAGCTAAGTACAAAAGCTACTTCCATCAGAGTAGAATACAAATACTCGTATATTATTCACCTCCCTAACAACAAGTAAAAATTAATACAGAAATCAGTTCTAGGAAAAATGGAAATGACACAGAAAATCCAGACCTTGGAGAAGAGAAACACTTGCTAATCCATAAGGATTTGTAAAATTGCTATAAAGGAGCTGGTTTTTATTTTTAGTCAACCTCCAAAGCAAGAGACAGACATTGCTTAGGTACCCAGTTTTAGAAGACAATGTACCATTTTGTAAAGTTTAAATGTACCATTTTCAAAGTTTAAAATGCTACCCTCTTTGGATGGTTGAGAAAGGTCATTCCGTGGCTGCAGCTGCTGTGATAGAGTCAGAGGTTGCTGTGACTTTCCACTTAAGCAGCACAGAGAAATCTAAAGAGAAGGTCGCCTTTGCAGCTGCCTGTGAAAGGCATCATTGTTACCTGTGATGGTGTTTAGGGGACTGACGTCTTGATAAGAAAGGGAAGCTGAAAGAGAAAAGGGACCAGGAGCTTGCTGGTATCAGGCTAGAGGGATATCCTGTTTGCTGGAACCATCTTAGGAGGTAGAAATCAGTTCTAGAAAATCAGTTCTAGGAGGTAGTTGGGCTTGATAAACAATAAATAAGCATTACAGGTTAAATTTTACAATAGCTATAGATTAGGAAAAAAAGGGGGGCGTATTTACATTTTAGTGTTTAAGTGCTAACACTGAAATAAAGAGCTTTATTTTTGATAAAATAAGGAGTAGTGAGCATTCTCTATTTCAGGTACAGCCATTCCATAACTGAAATTATGTGGCATCATTCCGAAGTCCTAAGACTGCCCCTGACCAAGAAATGACCATGATGCAGGGCTAACATCCTCTAATTCCAGGATGAAGATGCTTTCTTCATTGAAATAGCATCATGGCCCTGAATGGTGGGTCATTTGAATACAGTATTCCATCACAGAACAGAGGAAATACATTCTTACTCTGCTAAAGTCTGCCTTCCTGCCTTCCTCCCTTATTCCTTTACTTCTGTCAAGTGTTTTTGGTCGCTTACTTGCCACAGTGAACAATGCACATGTTGATTCCATTCAGCGGAACTTACATTCTAGGAGAGCTGGAAGAGGTAGGTAATGGACGAGCACAGCAATAAATGAACTGGATAATTTCAGAAAGTGTAAACGCTACGAGGAAGATAAGATGGGGCGATGCATGGGGCAATGCATGCTTTAACTTGCTCTTCAGAGAAGCTGACCTGAAGAGGTGACATGGGAGAGGAGATCTGATGACCAAAGGAGCCAGCCTTGGGAAGATCTGGGAGCAGAGCTTCTAGGCAGAAGGCTCAGCCAGTGCAAAGTCTCTAGAATAAGAATGAACTTGGAGTAACCAAAGTCTAACAATGAAAACGTCAGCCCCACCAGAGAGCACTGAGAAAGAGGGAAGTGACAGGAGGAGATACAAGGGACGAGGTCACATAGCATCTTGCAAGCTCATCTCCCATTGTCCTTCACAGCTGATCTCAGTTCTCTCAAAGCTCTCTCCATTGTAGCCTAAATTTATCTGCTTTATAAAATCTACAGCATGTACTATCTACTTAAAGGGTCAGCAAACTATAGCTTGCAGACTCCATCTGGCCCACCGTTTTTATAAATAAAGTTTTATCGCTACACAGCCATGGTCTGTCAGGATTTGTTGTTTGTGGCTAGTTTTAAGCCTCAGGGCAGAGTTGTGTGGTAGTGTGGGGGAATGTATAGCTCATAAAACAAAAGTTTAGCAGCCTCTAATCCACATAATCATATGCATACTTATTTGCATAATCACTAAAGGGTTGTTTTATACACATTACTGGTTCTTTGAGTCCTTGTTTTCTCTCCCCAACTACTCCTCAAGCTCACTGAAATTGGGAGAAGCAGTGTTGCTGAAAGGCTGGGGG